CGAGAAATGGTATTCTCGGCTAATTCGCTCGAGAACCGATCCGGAAGGTAATTCACTGGTCGCAAGCACGGGCCACTCAGCACTACGTCACCAGTAGACAGAATGTCTGCGTCTTTTCATGGGTTTCAAAGGCAGCGCCCGCGTTCATTTGATGTTCCTACGCCCTCCTTAGATATCGTAGCTTTGTCGACAAGGGTGGAGGATGTACTAATTTCGCAGCTCAAAAATACGAGAGGATGGCGCCACCCGCTTGTGAAGAGGATGCCGCCCCGCCCACCTGGCTGCCATAACTGCTTTGGCTTAGCCTTTAAAGGCTGAGCCCGCTTTCAAGAATAATGAGTTATGGAGCTCATATAATACGTGATCCAGTAGTGAAGAAAAAAGCAGAAAAAATCATGGAAAATGCCCTATATAGAACCCTATGCTGGCCAGGTGGGCGGGGCGGCCGACTCTTCACTAGCGAACGGCGCTATCCTCTCGCCTTTTTGAGATGCAAAACTAGTACATACTGCATCCTCATAGGGAGGGCTATGATATCCAGAGAGGGCGCGGGAACATCAAATGAACGTGGGCGCTGCCTTTAGTTGTGTGTGTGCGCGCAGAGAAGACGAACAGCACCTTCGGTTTTTTTAGCATTAGATCCATGAAAATATTCATTTTTCCCATGTGCAACTCGTGCTTGCTTCAACCCTCTGACCCTGTACCTCGAACGCGGTGTAAATATGTTCGATGACGGAAAAGGGGTTCTTACGTGACGTCGAACGAAGACGACTGAAAGTGAAATAAGCGCCAGCTGTTCCATCCCATGATTTACATACTGAGACTTTCTCAATATCTGACATTAAAATCGCCAACTGTTCACTTTGTAGCCAGAATATCTGAGGAAACATCCTGCAAATTGCTCGGCACTAAAAAATTGATAAAAAAAGGAGTAATGTTGGTAATCTTCGCATGACGAGCATGGATTATAGGGCAAAAATCGAACATGACCCCCAGACGGGCATTGTGTCGCTGACGATCTCGCAGATGTTCAACGACGACGTCGGCGAGTACACTTGTCGTGCCAGCAACATCCATGGAGAGGCGACATCCGCTGCTCAGGTAGAGTAACTGAAACCAATTAATAACTCCAGAGCTGAGCGCTAAATGTTTCAGTTGCTTATCCGCGAACAATACGAACGATGGTTTGCTGAGGAGCAGAGCCGACTCACTCGCGACCGACGACAAGCACAGGTATGAGACTTGGAGCAGGCGTTTCTTCCTCTATTTGAAGCATGAGTAGCCGGACGCAACGGACGCGATTAGTCAGTTTTCTTGCGATGACACGCGTCGTCCTGCAGTAGCGCTCAATACCGAAGACGGGTACACAGCCATAGATCATGCCGGCAGCGAGCGTTTCGAGAGACCATTGGGGAGGGGGTAGTTAGGAGCGTGTCTGACTACATAGTCTAGTACCCACCTATTTTCCCAGGCTCTCTCAAAGCAGTAACGGGCGGCGCTGATCGATGGCTGCGTTCCCGTCTATAGCAGTGGAGCGCTGTTGCAGTAGTTGTGCGCCGATGCGCGTCATGGCGAAGTCTGAACGCTACATTACGTTCAGCTTCACATGTAAGACCACAAGCTGTACGGTTGGTGTCTGGAACCATCAGAGCGAGAAAAACCTAATGTAAGAACCTATCACAGGAACGCAGGAGCTAAGAATTTATATAAGGGTGGCCCTGAATGAGGAACGCCCGCAGCGGTCCTACTTGCAGGATGAAGGGGGCTCAAAGATCGGGCTGTGTTTCGGTGAATGTCCTCTTAAGACCCTTCTTGCGATGATGTGATGATCCCTTT